TGCTTCGACGTGCCACATGGTGGCATTGTTGATCTATGAGTATGAACTGAGCTTATGTGCGTTATGTGCGTGTGATTTTGGCCTTTTCTCGTGGCATTGCTGCATTTTTCGTGACAGTATTTTGCCTTTGCCGTTGCACCTTCAAATACGGCGATATTCTTAAGTTATTTTTCTCAGAATATGTCCGCTCCTCTAGCGGGTGTCCGAATAGCTGTGTTACCTACTATGGCGTAAAGCGGTCCGTGATCGCGACATTCGCCGTTGCATCCCTTCTTCCCTTTATCTTGCGCCCCTCGGGACGCCAATGGATGTAGTTTTTACTTGGTATTGCCATGGTGGCATACGCCTCTGGATCTAATCTCTCTAGGTTTTCCTATGAGTACTAGGCTGCACAAGTTAACGTGCATCCAGCTCAGAACCTAGAGAGTTTGAAGTGTTAAACCGAACATGGTTAAGGCTGTAAACTACAGAGAATGATATACCCCCTTCGTGCGGCCCTCGAACGAGCGCCTAGCAAATACTACGCAGAGAGGTTCCGGGCTAAGCCTCGGCGGATAGACCCCCAGGCGCTGTGTAGTCTTACCCCACCGTCACCACATCTTCCCCTATAGTCTGAATTGGTCACGATTGGCCGGAAGGGGTCTCATCCATCCGCCTAAACCCCAGATCAATACATGCAATTAGCGGCTCAATCTGACTATTTCTTCAATCACTGGGACCTTAAATGGCCATATTTCAACCATGAGTGCAACGCAGCCAATGCGATGAAACCTTCACATGACTTTACTGTGATGACATGCATGTCTGGGTACTGTTTCCTATCGGTTGTTCCGATCTTTACCAGGCTCTACAAGTCCACGTGCATCAAGCTCAGAAACAAGGGGATTTTGAGCCTTAGATCAGACATGGCTGTGGCTGTAAACTTCAGACAATGAATATGAAGATAGATATCTCAGTTCAAAACCCCATACAAATGTGAAACCATCCCCTTTACCGGAAGTAATTTAGAATTTGAAAAGTCCTTTCCAAATTCACTGCTCCATGCCACAACGGAACCGTCATCTGTCCGCGGGTAAAATCAGCCCCAAGATATTTAAAAACGTATTAGCATAGTCGAAATGCCTTTTCCTCTTACAGAGGTTTTATTAACATAGCGATCTCATCTTTCAGCTCGGCACGAATGGCGTGTAAAATAGGTGACGAGCTCGTTCTACTAAATATTTTGAGCAGCAGCGTCCTATTAGTTTTTCACTTTTTCAGATGGTAGTGTTTCGCTTGTCTTGGCCGTTGCGGCTGCCCAGTACGCCCTGCCCTATGGCGGCCTGGCCTACTCGGTGCAACCGGACGTCGCTACATACTGGACCAACTTGGCCGCCCCCTATACCAATTACGCCTCTGCCATCTACAAGGACATCGCTGCCAACGCCCCGGCCGGTGTACGCCCCCAACACGACGGCCTCAGCACCATGTTCGACGGCAAAGTCCCCGTCTTTCCTATCGAGGGCTCGTTTAGTTACGTGGACCTCAATGGTGTGAAACAGACGGTCGACTTCACTGTGGACAAGTCTGGCTTCCGTGTGTCTGGCACCAACCTGCCGCCGGCTGCTGTCACCGACGTGAAGACGCCCGCCGACGCTGCTGCTACCAAGAGTGGCTACCGCAAGTGACACAGCGCTCTGCCGATCAGCGATACCCCTGAGGTGGCCGTCGCCATGGTTGAGCACTCCCGCCTGTACAATGCAGCCGTTCTTCGTGTGTACCCTCAGACGTACGCTGCCTCCGGCGCTCCAGTCACGTTCCAGGGCACGCACGTCCCGAGGGCGTTTCTTAAACGTACGATTGTATTCACCCGAACCCCCTCCCTTACCTTCGCATCTTTTAGTAAGTGCTCGGAGCCTACTCACCTGCGATCAAATGCTGACTTTTCATCTCTGACTTGCTTCCAAACGTTCTATTTGTGTCCATATGCATATACACCGGAAGCCTGTCATGTTTGGTGTATTGTCTCAGCTTGTTGTCAGGGTGCGCAGTTACAGTTTACCGGTCTTGGTTGGAACGAGGGGCGTAAAGATGTTGATCGTGTTTGACGTAATACAAAATATGCTCGGAAATGGTGGTATGGCTGTATTCAATGAAAGGGTGGCGAACACATGTATCCTAATTTTTCACCATTCCATGCTGTTTATGGCCACGCCTTTTTGAATGCTTAAAGTCATCTTGTTTATAAGCTTGACGTCCGCAAACTGCTGCAGACTATTTTGGACAGACTAGTCCGAAGTCAATCAGACATCCACGACGCCATCGAAACATTACGCAAATGACACGACCTCGTTGGCCGTGCAGTGCTCAAGGTCAATACGAATGTGATAATATAATTGTTCGTGTCTGGCACACATCTGGCACGATTCGTGGCATCAATGGAAAGCAGGTGGCACTCAACTACTTTGATGTAGCCAGTGCAAGATTCGAACACGAATCACTCTTTTGCTACGCGATGCGAGGATTTGTGCAGTGGTAATAGTTCTGATTGCATAATGCAACTTTGGCCAGCTGAGGTGCCTGTGCGATAGCTGTCGTACAGGATAACCAGTGTGGTAACAGCATTTGTAACATATTCATTCAAACTAACAGAGGTTACTCTTGGATAAGAAAATGGTTTTCGAGCAAGAAATGATCATACCATGTGCACTAACTAGCAGATACTTTACCAGCCATGACAACTTAGGAGATATGCTGCATCTGCCGTTGTAACAACTAAAATGATATCTACTCATCACCCTAAACTAATAGATATCGAATGTGTTGAATTGCAGAGTTTTGGATGGATAGCGGCATGAAAAAGTAAGCGTTTCAAATAGTTTATCATTGTTTGTTCTAAAAAACAAACTTAGTTATGGACGCATGAGTCACAATTATTCTATGCTAAGAACATTGATCCCATCGGGTTGGAGCGTGAAAATGCTGGTGGAAACCAAATGTGCCAAAAATATTGCATTTTCCCGTTTGTAATGCATATATATATATATATATATATATATATATATATAAACAATTGGGATACCTTGTTTTTCGAGGTAGTATACCAGTTTCCTGTCCAAGCTAACCACCTTTTGTCACTCAGAATAATTGTAAGCACACAATCTGAAAGAAGTCACAACTGTTTGCAGTTGTGCCATGTCATGCCAAGTTTACCTCAAGCATGATTACAACCCGTCAACAGCCTGCACCATAACAGTTGAGTCACCAGGTACCACGACCTGACCTGTAATTTCTCTGTGGTTCTGATATCAATCTGATATGACAAGTAGGTCATTGGCATGGGAAAATGCAAATAAAGGCAAAGACGTCACCTTTCTCAAATAACAGAAGCCTCAGGGAGATAGATAGGCAGGGGCCCACCACATTCCGGTCAATCTGACATGAGAGCCTGTGAGAAATTCAGCGGGAGGGGTTTGGGTCATTTTTGACCGTTTCCTTTTGTGCAACGCCATAGGGCTGAAAATTAAGTGCACCAATCGTGGCTGGTTTTAGATGCCCCCTCTGGCTGTACTGCCCCCTCCCCTGTGCAGATTTTGTTAGACAAACTCAATTCCAGTCCGGCCACCGCTACCTTCACCTGCAAGTGTGGGTTTGTATCTTTCTTGTGGGCGTTCCAAAAAAACTACAACTCATTTGAACTGATATGAACAAACGAAATGCCTTGAAATAATATGGCAACTTTCAGCGCCTTTAATGATCTCAAGAGAATACTGTGGGCATCCATCCGTGAGAACTACCTTCGTAAAGTCAACGATGAGGCGTGAGGAAGCTCATTAGTGTTTTCACGGTAAAAACGTCCGCAGATGCCCCGACATCTGTAGTCATTGGGTGCCTCACCCAGTTGATGCAGTTTGGCTTGCCCACCTGCATACATTCTAGCAGTGTTCTATTGCCCTGCATTCGGACAGGTGAGCATCCCTGATATCAGCGGCCATTGCTGTTCTTGCTCCTTAGATTACGAGGGCTCTGGGTCTAAAGCTGTTCGTGTTACTTCTTTCACTAGTCCGTTCTGCAAACGAACAACGTTCCCAGGCGAGCATGAGTGGACCATTTTCATTTTTACCTCATTTCGATCCACTCCATTCATCATTTCTGCCACCTTTTACGCCTTCAAGGCAAGGAGCCCCGTGAGTACAATACTAGGGGGCACATTATTATTACTGGACTAGGGCTGAAGGGCCATTTCGTCCCAGTGCAAATTGCGTTCCGGCTGCGGTTCTGGCGACACGGAGGCCCTTTGGTCGATCCGGAGACACTTCAAAATGATGCATCATACAATAAACATGTGTTCTCAGAGCTGCACTCCATAAGCACGTGTGGGAGGGGATTGTAAGCAGTCGTATAGGAGAATCAAGGCTACGGAAATTGACGGAATCAAGTCCCTGCTACTAAAGAAACCTTGAGTTTGCCCTTCAATACCGCCGTCCGCCGTTTATCCCAAGATAAATGCTACCTTTTACTACATGAAGCAGCTGTATCCAGCAGGCTTGAAGAAGATCGCTGGTAGACTGGGGAAATCGGATGCATGTTTAAAGTAAAACAAAAGTGAGTTCAACGCCAATAAGATCTGAAAATTGGGGATGGGAATGGTAAGCTTTGTGTCGATTGTATGCAGGTGAGCTAACCAAACATCAGCACCAGCTAAGTGAGGCACTCAATGTCTGCAAATGTCCCGATATCTGCGGACGCTGTAAGCGTGAAAACACTGACTAGCTCTTTCGTGCTTTATTGTGTACTTTTTGAGGGTAGGTGTTGCGGATGGATGCACATAGTGGTCCCTTGAAATAATTAGGGGCGCTGAAAGCTATCATATCATTTAAACGCATTTCATTTGCCTTCCCCCGCCACCTTGAATTAGCATTTCATATCGACTTGCAGACATGAGTAGATGGATTGAACTATGCAAAGCTGGTCTGTAATGCTACAGAGACAACATCTGTATCACTAGTAGTAAGTGGATGTAACAGGGATGGGGGTGGAGACGGCGGCCTGAAGTTTCGTAGGCGTCTCCTCGGCACCAAACGAATGGTCAATGGTTAACGGTACCACGTGGTACGGTGACCTTGATAAGCTTCTGTTTTGTGGCAAATATGTGTATGCTTGCTCTAAACCAATATGAGATATCCCACGCCAATTGAGCCCACGACACAACATACATATGACATATATGACACAACCCCAACGACTTACGCGACGGACGAGGCCAGCGTTCTACTTTGTTGTTTCTTATTTAGTTGTGAGCGGTTCGTTAGTGCAAACATAGTCTTACAGTAACCTGCATAGGCTGCTGCCGTATTGCAGACGTCTGTCTTCCTGCTCAAAACTAAATTGAAGTATTTCACGCAACTTCAACCACACGGACAACCCATAGATGTCTTATATAACGCCCGGGACGGACGAGGCCAGCGTCAGGCGCCCACAACAACCGTGCCTAGGGATCCCGTGGCGATACCGGCCAGACAACCACTGACGTCATATTGGGAGCATTCAGCAGCAAACGACTTCCCTATGGCTAGACACGGCAAGGAAAACTCGGGACGCGACCATCTGCGACAGCGTCCGGCGGCTCGCACTATGCCGGCGCTAGCCTTCTACGATCTTAAAAGCATCTACAACATTGCAGCATTGCCAGCAGAGCTCTCCAGCAACAGGCTCATCACTCAGTAATTTGCATCAGGGGATGGGGCTCTTCTCCGACCTTGGGGGGGGGGGGGGGGGGGCGGGTAAACGAGGGCTATCACCGACTGCCGTGATGCGGTCGACTAAACCCCCCCCCAGCATGCGAGTGTTGCCGCTGGCCCCGGGCGTGGTCCAATAGTTAGGACGGCCTCCAGCCGGTATAAAGCTGGCCGGCACCGGTCTACAAGCATCACAGACCCCAGCGAGTTCAGCCATGAAAATCCTGGTGAGTCCTCCGCTTGCGATGCTTGCTAACGATATGCATCACGATGAGCTGTTTCATTTCATCAGGAGATCCAGTCCCAATCAGCAGCTTGAAGGGACTTTGCACACCTGGAGATATTAAGGCAACTTTATATGATATACATGTACAACCATATATGCTCACTACATACAAAGCTCACTAGTAATTTTTCTCATGCTTTTAAAAGCAAATGTCTGCTGAATGTAACAATTTTGCGATGAGTATGATTTTGATCCTACCATCGGTTCATTATATCACGGAATGTTTTTATGACGTCAGAGTCACTGCGAGAGTTGCCACGTCAGAGTTGTAGCTGTAGCGGACGGCGAGACTCACTTGTAGTGCTTTGACATACCGCACGGTGGCAGCGTTCATCTATGAATACAAATACAATCTAGGAGGGTTGTGTGCATGCGATTTGGCCGTTTCTCGTGGTATTGTTGCAATTTTCGTGATCGTATTTTCGATTTTGCAGTTGAAATTTGTATTACGGCCCTATTCCTGGGTTACTTTCTCTCTCTTTTGTCTGACACATCTAGCAATTGCCCGAATAGCTATTTACCTAGGTGTAAAGCCGTCCGTGATCGCGACATTTCCCACTGCATCCCTCTTCCCTTTATCCTGCACTCGTCGGGATGACAGTGAAAGTAGGTTTTCACGTGACGTGACTATGATGGCATACCTCTCTGGATCAAATTCCTCTAGGCGTTGTTATGGGTACTAGGCTGCACAAGTTCACGTGCGTCAAGCTCAGAAACAAACGGATTTGAAGTGTTAAACCAGACAGGGTCATAGTGGTAAAGTGCAGAGAATCATCATGAATTAAGCATTCAGTAGCAAGTGACTAGTGACTTCCCTATGGTTAGATGCAGCAATGCGACCCCATGGGACTTTGCAAGTCCGAAGTTCAGGGCAGGCGGCACGCATCAGCCATGAATAAGCCAAATATCCCGTTGTGCGGCCCCCGCTCGAGCGCCTAGCACATAACGCGCAGAGGGGTCCCTGTGCAAGCGAAGCCCTGGCGAATAGACGCCCAGGTTCGTGTGGTCTTGCCCCACCGTTATCCATTGCCTTTTATTCTGCATGCACCACCATAAACACGAATGCTTAAATGGCCATGTCTTCACCAGAAGTACATCATATCCAATATTATGAGGTTTTCACCTGGCTATTATGATGACATACATGCCTGCGTAAAATTCCTAGTTCACCTGCATGAAGCTCAGAAAGAAGAGAATCCAAAGTCTTAAACCGGACATGGCTGTTCCTGTAAACTTCAGAGAACGATCATGAAGATGGGTATCTCAGTTCAAAGCCCCACACAAATTTGGTACAATCCCTTTAAATAAAGTGATTTAGAAATTCAAAAATATTTCTCCAAAGTCACTGCTTCGTTGCAAAACGCAACTGTTATATGTCCGTCGGGTGACATCAGCTGCAAGATGTTGAAAAACATGTTAACATAACTGGAATGCCTTTCGTCTTTTGGTTGTTTTATGAATATTTGCGATCTCATCTCTCCACTGGGCGCCAATGGCTCGGAAAATATATGACAGGCTTTGTCTACTTCATATTTTCAGCAACAATGTTCTTTGAAATTGCTTCTTTCCTTCCTGCTCTTTCCAACAACAAATATTGGTTGGCTTATCCTTTTCAGATGGTAGTGAGCGCTGTCCTGGGCGTTGCGGCTGCCCAGAACGCCCTGCCCTACAGCGGCCTGGCCTACTCGGTGCAACCGGACGCGGCCAGATACTGGACCAACTTAGCCACCCCTTATGTCAAATACGCTACTACCATCTATAAGGACATCGCTGCCAACGCCCCGGCAGGTGTCCGCCTCCCGGACGATGGTTTCAGCACCAAGTTCGACGGCAAAATCCCCGTCTTTCCTATCGAGGGCTCCTTTAGTTACGTGGACCTCAATGGTGTAAAACAGACGGTCGACTACGTTGTGGACGAGTCCGGCTACCGCGTGTCTGGCACCAACCTGCCGGCGGCTGCCGTCACCGACGTGAAGACGCCCGCCGACGCTGCTGCTACCAAGAACAGCTACCGCAAGTAACACAGCACTCTACCGATCGGCGATACCCCTGAGGTGTCCACCGCCAATGCTGAACACGCCCGCCCGTACAACGCAGCTGCTCTCGGTGTCTACCCTCAGACGTACGCTGCCTCCGGCGCTCTCGTCACGTTCCAGGGCACGTACGGCTCGTAGGGCGTTTCTTACTCGTACAGCTCTCTTCACCCGAACCACCTCACTTGCCTCTGAGCCTGCTCACCCGCGATCACATGCTGACTTTTCATCTCTGATTCGCTCCCAAATGTCCTGTTTATATGCCGTTACACCCGAAACCTGTCATCTTTGGTGTATTTCCTCAGCTTGATGCAAGGGTACGTATTTACAGCTTACCGAGCTTGGTTGGTACGAGGAACGTGAAGGTGTGGATCTGCTTAGACGTAATACAAAATATGCTTGGAAGCGCTGGTATGCATGTATGCAATGAAAGGGTGGCGAACACATGCATCCTAAGTTTTCACCATTCCATGCAGTTCATAGCCACGCCTTTTTGAAGACTTTAAGTCCTCTTGTTGGACAGACTATTCCAAGTCAATCAGACATCCACGACGCCATCGACACATCACGCAAATGACATCACCTTGTTGGCCGTGCAGTGCTCAAGGTTAATACGAATATGATTATAAAATTTTTCGTGTCTGGCATACATCAGCACGATTCGTGGCATCAACGGACAGCAGCTGGCCTTGAACCATTTTAAGGTGTTGAGTGCAAGTTTCGAACACAAATCCCTTTTGTGCTACGTGATACGAGGATTTGTGCAGTGGTAAGAGTAATGATTGAAAGAAGACTGGGATCGAAGAGCGTAGGAGTAGCGCCATATATAAATGAAGGAAAGTGATACAAAGTCCAGGACGAATACAAAACACGAGAAAGAACTAAACCGTAAGGGCAGGACAATCTTCCGGCTGAGCAAGCGCGCAACAGGAAACATCCGCGTCTCTCGATATACTTAAACGATGCCGCGTTCATGAACATATTTGGTAATTACTGATTGTCGAGAGCAGTATTTTTCGTTTAACTCTAAACCATTTGTTACAATTGAGCTGATTCTATCGTATCTGATGCTTACCTCAATATCTTCAAATGTGGAACATTCCATTTAAATGCTCTATTCGTGTTCAGTTGTCGTTGAGCCGAAAACCTGTCGTGTTTGGTGCATTCTCTCAGCTTGATGCCAGAGTACGTATTGACGGTTACCGGACATCGTTTTGGCTGGGACGAGGGACGTAAAGGTGTGGATCATGCTTGACGTAACACAAAATATGTTTGGCAGCAACGGCATGTTTGTTAACACCGGAAGTGGTGTGTGGGCGGAGGGGCATCCCAATTTCCCTGCAATGACTTCGCGTCCCCTCAATTTGCGACAGTAAGGATGCACATTTTTCGCTTTTCCACTCAGGAAGCCGTCTTCGCGTCACGCTGTCCGCCAGATTCCAGTTTGACTACCCAATCTCGTGTGTGGATAACCGATGCACAATTCGGGGTTGTCTTCATGTCGCGAAGTTTTCAGCTTTCAGCTTTCCTTCCTAACGAGGAATGCTTGGTATTACCCCTATCGCGTTTTAGGTACAGCACCTGAAACGGTGGGCCCCCCGCTCCGATGACGCCGTTAGCTCTCTCTCTGGTAGCTAGGATCGACGGCTCCCTTTGTGGAAGTGCCGGCATCGCCTTATGCGTTACGCAGCTGGCGACCGCTCCAGTTTTCAAAACCAGTAGTTTTCCACACGGCAGAGCAAGTGGCTACCTCCGTGGCCATGGGGAAAGTTCCCCACGGTAGTTACGGGGGCTTCTTCCGTGGCAGGGAGAGCGGGATATACCGTGGCCGCGACAATAGACTCTCCAGCATCGGCGACAGCGGGTACGGAACATTCCCACCAAGTCGCAAAAATGTTATTGCTGATATTTTTACAAGGAAAGATAGTACAACTCTGGCTAGCTGACATAAGCTGTACAACATAAACAGTGTGGTAACAATAGTTGTAACATATGTATTTAAACGATCAGAGGTAGCTGTTTTATAAGGAAATGGTTTTAAAGGAACTCATGATCACACCATGCGCACTACCTACTAGTTTGTATCATCCATGACAACTTGAGAGATATGCTGCATCTGCCATTCTTCCGGCTAAAGTAATATCTATTTATTACCCTTAAACAATCGATATCCGGTGTGTTCAAATTTTGAGTTTTGGATGGAGAGCGGAATGAAACAGGACACATTTCACATCATGTATCAGTGCTTGTTTTGAACCCCGAAGCTTTTTATGGATTTATCACTCACAGTTGTACCAAGCCAAGAGTACTTGTTTCTTCAAGTTGAAGCCGGAAACATGCTGTTAGAAACCATACGTGCTTATAGATACCATGTTTACCTCGTTGATAATGAATACATACCATTGGGATGCTTTGTATTTGTAGGTAATATACCAGTTTTCTGCTAAATTGACAACATTTTCGAACTTAGTATAGCTGTAAATCCCACAACCTGGAAGAAGACATAACTATTTACGATCCTGCCATGTTATGCTAACTTTGCCTCGAGCATGATTGCAACTCATTGACAGGCTGCACCATAACAACTGAATCACCAGCCATCATGCCCTGCGCCTTTAATTTCTCTTTTGTTTTGATATCATGCTGATACAGAAAATAGGTAATTGGCATGGAAAAATCCAAACGAAGATAAAAACTACGCCTTCCAATAAGGGCAGCCCCAGAGAGATAAACATGCAAGAATCTACCACCCTTTTATGAATATGCTTTAAAATCCTCTGAGAAGTTCGGCGAGGGAGGTGGGCTCGATTGTACAGTTTCTTTTTGTGCAACACCATAGGGCTGAAATCTAAGTGCACCAATCGTGGCTGGTCTGGAATGCTCCTCAGGCTGTTCTGCCACTCCCGTGTTTAGATTTTGTCAGACAAACTCAATTGCGGTCTGGTCTCTGTTACCTTCATCTGCTGGTGTGGGTGTGTAGTTTTTTTGTGTGCCACCCAAAAACATTAGAAACGATTTTAAGTGATGTGACCAGATGACATGAATTGAAATACATTCATACAGCTGAGGATCTCTAACGATTTCAAGGTACCAATGTGCACAGCCATCGGCAACAACTACTTTCGCAAAGTCGACGATGAATCATGAGGGAGCTCGTTAGTGTTTCACGCTCATGGCGTCCGCGGACATGCCGACATCTGTAGTCATTGGGTGCCTCAATCAGTTGGTTCAGATATTTGGTTTGCCCACCTGCATACATTCAAGCAGTGTTCCACTGCCTTGCATTTTGACAGGGAACCCTTTAACATTTTGACCCTTATACCAGCGGCCATTGCTGTGCTTGCTCCTTAAATTGCGAGTTGTTTTGCGAGTTAAATTGAGCTCCTTAAATTCTGCAAAAAAGATATCGTTCTCAGTCAAGCACGAGTTGACCATTTTCCTTTTTATCTCGTTTTGATCCACTACATTTATTACTTCTCCGACCTTTTAGCCCTCAAGGCAAGGAGCCCCGTGCGTAGAACACTAGGGGGCACATTATCATCACCGGTCCAGGGCTGAAGAGCCATTTCGTTCGAGTGCAGAGTGCGTTCCCGGCTGCCGTTCTGAAGACACGGGGGTCCATTGGCCGATCCTGGGACACTTAAAAAAGGATGCATCATGCAATAAACATGTGCTTTCACAGTTGCACTCCATAAGCACGCGCTAAGGGGACTGTAAGCAGTCGTGCAGAGGAATCAAGGCTATGTAAGATGACGGAATGAAGTCTTCACTACTAAAGGAACCTTGGGTTTACCCCTAAATACCTCCATCCGCCGTTCATGACAGGATGATATGCTGCCTTTTACGACATGAAGCAGTTTTGTCCAGTAGGTTTGAGGAAGATCGCTTGTAAACTAGGGCAAATCGGATGCATGCTTAAGGTAGAACAAAGCTACGTTCGGCGCCAATAAGTTCTGAAAATTGGAGATTGGGGGGGGGGGGTAAACTTTGTGCGAAATGTATGCAGGTAAGCAAACCAAATATCGGCACCAACTGAGTGAGGTACTCAGGGACTGCAGATGTCCCTATGTATGCAGATGGTGTAAGCATGAAAACACTAACGAGTTTTTTACTGCTTTATCGTCAACTAGAAGGTAGTTGTTGAGGATGGATACACATAATGGTCCCATGAAATAGTTAGAGGCGTTGAAAGTTGTCATAGCATTTACACGCATTTCATTTGCCCACCCCGCCACCCTGAATTAGCATTTCATATCGACTTGCAAACATGAGTAGATAGATTGAGCTGTGCAAAACTGGTGTGTAATGCGACAGAGACAACATCTGTACCACTAGCAGTAAGTGAATGAAAAAGGGATGGGGATAGAGACGACGGCCTGTTGTTAGCGAGCGTCTTCTCGGTACCAAACGACCGCCTTGACGTAGCGGACTAAACCTCCCCGCAGCCTGTGAGTGTTACCACCGGTCCTTGCGTAGCTCAACGGATGCGTATTGAAACGTCCAGAGTTCATAAAGTCCCGCGGTCAAAAAGTCCAGAATCGCAGCATCTTGCGTTTATAAGATCCAGAAAACGTCCAAAACCCTTGGACAAAGGAGAATCATAAAAGCCAGTGCTCATAAAGTCCAGTGTTCATAAAGTACAGTATTCATAAAGTCCAGCGAGCGTGGAATCCATGGTTTGGGATGCTGTCCCATTTCCACGTAGCCCTTCGCCTAATGCTTCGGATATTGCCCGAAAGAGGGCTACCGGAGCCGATTTCGCCGGCCTCAGCCGACGAGTGGTGTCATGCGCTACAGTGCTGCCCACTTAAACCACCGTGCATAGATATGGACAACGTTTTGTTTGAGCGCACAAACTTTGCCGCGTCAGCATGCCCTCGGCAACAGGCGCATTAAATAATTCAAAACTTTGATCCCTGGCTCGTGGAATCGGAAATAGCTGTTTACTCGGCAGAACCTGCGCGGTAATCGTGGAAATCACTTC